GCATAAACGCTCGACCGAGGACGGAGATACGCGGGTGGGCGGGCCCAGCCGCGGGGTTCTCAGTTCCAACCCCTGACCGAGCCCAAAGGTCAAAAAGGGGGACTCTCGTTGAGAGCCTCCTGAGAGCGAAAGCCTTAGCAGCTGTGTGTCGAAGAGTATACGGAAGTATAGCCGAAGCACCAGTTAGGCCGACGAACACCTGTTCTAAGGCTTCCTCTCGAACCCTTTTTAACATCCGAGTTCCTTTCTATTTTCGCTTGCCACTAACTCGTCTCAAGCCGAGTTACTGACTCATCTGGTAACAGACGACCGTGAACCGCTGGTTGGTATGTCCCCTCCTTCATGCCAAGAGGTTACTAACCAGGTGGCAGATCACACTGGTACCCTTCGTCAAGCCTCACTCACTTGACTTAGGCTTAACCCGTGTGAACCCTGCTACACTGCCGCATGCTCTGCGCCTTGTATCCTCGCACCCGGGGTCTCGGCCCCCAGACAATGCATGCGGCCACCGATCAGAGATCGCGTCGCGCCGTCGGGCCGACGCCCAGCACCCCTCAGCCCGGCCGAGATCCAGGCCAAGAAGGACCACCGGCTTCACCGCCCCCCAAGGCACGACGCTCTTCCGATCTCTCGCACCCGGGGTCTCGGCCCCCAGACAATGCATGCGGCCACCGATCAGAGATCGCGTCGCGCCGTCGGGCCGACGCCCAGCACCCCTCAGCCCGGCCGAGATCCAGGCCAAGAAGGACCACCGGCTTCACCGCCCCCCAAGGAAGGGCCTCAGGTGGGGGACTCCGATCAGCCAACACACATGCCTCCACCCTGGCGCCAGGCAGAGCCATGGGAAAGACCCAATGCCCGCGCGAGAGCGGCCGGGCCTCTTTTCCCCGCATCAGGCTCATACCCCAGCTCCGGGGCTCCGGCCGCGGCAGTGGCCGACTCTCCTCTCCCTTGCCATGATCAGCGGGCGCTCTGGCTTCGTGGCGAAGCGGGCCCTTTGCCACGCGGATTGCCCCTTCGTCGGGGCCTGCCACGCCGGCTCGCAGGTCACCGACGCCGGGCCAGCCCCCACAGAATGAAGCGCGTGGCCGGATATCAAGGCGAGCGGGTGGCCGGCTCGTCCGGGCCCAGCAGCCCCCGGGCGGCCATGTATGCCCCTTTCCCCCTCGCCTGGTGGGATCGGCCGCGAGGCGGCCGGCGTATCGTCCTGCGGCTGGCCACCTGCAGATCGGAAGAGCGTCGTGAATGAAGCGCGTGGCCGGATATCAAGGCGAGCGGGTGGCCGGCTCGTCCGGGCCCAGCAGCCCCCGGGCGGCCATGTATGCCCCTTTCCCCCTCGCCTGGTGGGATCGGCCGCGAGGCGGCCGGCGTATCGTCCTGCGGCTGGCCACCTGCCCCGGGCCCTCGCGAGCGCGTGGCCGGGTCGGGAGCCCTCTCCGCCATCGGGCCCCTTTGGGCCGTGATGCGTGGCGATCCGCCCCCTCCTCCCCAGCGGATCTCGAAATGTGCCTGGCGTTTCTTGCCACGCAGCGGGCCATCCTTCAGGGGCCAGGAGTTTGGCTGGTCCCCATGGCGCTCGAGGCGCGCCATTCGCCTGCACATCCTGGCCTTCGTGGTCCCCCGGCCCGGCCGCCCGAAGGGGCATCGCTCGGCACCCGCCCGGGGCACGCTCTCGCCCGCTGAGCCCGCCTGGCGGAGCATGAGCCCTCGGGCGGCCCTTCGGCCAGGCCCCCGCGAGACCCAGTGGCCGCAGGGGAGACGTGTCGCCTGACGGCCCATCGCTCGGCACTGGCATCCCAGCTATGGCTCATTGACATCGGAGCACTTTCCCGGCCTCTCGCCCCCTCGCCAGCCAGTCTCGCTGCGCCTCCAATCGGCCATCTTCCGCCATCCCCGCAGCTCGTCCGGGCCAAGCACCTCCTTCGATTGCTGCGCCCGAGGCTCGGCGGAGTTGCCCCACCCGGGGTGGCAGCTCGTCTGCCAGTCCGAGCCTTTGGCTGGGCCTCGCCGGCGTCGGTGCATGGTCTCTGCGGCACCCTCCCTCGCCCCTTTCCCACCAGCCACGAGGGGCCGGGCACCGTCCCTCGTACGCTCGGCTGCCGGAAGCCCATGTGCCCGCAGGAGCACCCGGTTGCCCCGCGCGCGCGCGCGCGCGCCATGCTCGATGGCCAAGAAACCGGCCTCAAGCTGGGCTTCGGGCCAGCGCCCCAAGGCGCCAGACCCCTCATGGCGGCCACACCGCCCGAGCAATGGTCCCTCTCTCCGGGGAGATTCCGCGGCACCACGTGGATCAAGTCCGTAGACGGGCCCCGCCCTCCGCACCCGAGCCCCTGCCCCTCGGCCCTTGCTCGGGCATAGGCCGGAGGCACATCGTCCCGACACGCCCCTCCACAGAAATCCACCGGCCGGATGCCTTTGCCAGCCCCGGGTCCTTTCGAATGGGCAGCAGATGCCACATCTCGCCCACGCAACACGGAAAGCCGACCGGCAGCCCCCGGGGCAAAGCTGTCTCGGGGCCCGCATGCTTCCGCGCGTCTGGCGCCCATAGCCCGACCGACCGAGTGCCGGGCTGGCAGCTGCGCCCGGCCTCGGGCCAGTCGCCGGAAGATCCCGCCCGGGGGGGCCAGTCGAACCGCCGGGATGTGCCAGGGCCCGGGCCAGCCAGCCGGCCTCCTCGAGGCAACCCATCCCCCGGCCCCCGGGGACCCGGCGACTTTTCGCCTGCCACCCTCGGGGCACGGCATAAGCCCACGCCCGGCACAGACCCCGCCCACAGGGCGCCATGTCGGGGCCATGCCGTGCTCGCCATCAGGCCATCGGAGCGTCGGGATCCCCGCATGCGGCGCTTCGCCGGTCCCAAGCCCAGGCGTGGTCGTGATGCCGTGGCAGGGCCCGCCCGGCTCCAAGCCCGAGTGGGGAGCATTTCCGACCTGGGGCTCCAGCAGGCTCCCGGCCTGCTGCAAAGGGTCCTCCCCTCCCCTCGCCCTGCAGCAAAAGGCCTCCAAACATGGCACCCACTCGCCCTCCCGGCGGGAACCCGCATCGATCGCGGCAGGGGAACGGCACGCCCAAGGGCGGCCGCCCGTTCGCCGGCGCTCGAGAGCCCGGCACCCAGGCCACCCATACACGGCCCTGGCCCCGCGACAGGGGCCCCTCCCTTGGCCCGAGGACGGGCGTCCTGCCCAGAGGGACTTCCACGCCCCGCCCGAGTCCCACCCACCGAGGAGAGGCCGCTCCCCGCAATGGGCATTGTTTGTTGCGTGCTTCCACTTCGCCAAGAGAAAAAAAGCCCTCCCCTCCGTCCTGACGCCAGCACCACGGGCACCATGGGCGAAGGCACCTCGCGGGAAAAAAAAAGAAGCCCACCTGGCATTCGGCCGACTCGCGACTGGCCCTGATCCTTCTCCCGAGCCGACTTCCGAGCCACGCCCGGTGGTGGTCGTGGGGGGCATCGCGCCGGGAGGATCGCACGGGCGATGCCTTGCCAGCCCGTCAGCGGGCGACCTCTTACGCGCGCCATGACCGCGCTGCTCGGCGCCTTGTCGCCCCCCCCCCCCCCCTCTCGCAACACGGCACCCCTCCTCGGCGCAGCACCCCGACACCGCTCCAGGGGGAATGCCCAAAGAAGGGATGGAGGCTTTATTGTCCACGACTACCGACGGCACCGGGCCGAGGGGAGGTGCCGCCATCGACATCGAGAAGCCTCCACCGGCGGCGGGGCCTCCCCGCGCGAAAGCGCCGAGGCGCACGTGTCCTAGACCGATTCGCCGGCCGCCACCGCCCCGCCATCGCTCACCAGCATGTAGTACATGGAGCACTGCTGGCGCAAGGTCGAGGCATCCGGCCGGCGGGCCGGCTCCGGCTGCCAGCAGGCCGCAATCAAATCCACAATGCCGGGCACCTGGCCACCCAGGGCATCGGCCACGCGGCCCAGGTCCGGGCGGCTGTCCGACTGCACCAGCGCAATGACCTTGTCCATGGTCAGGCCTGGCCCGACAGCCCAGCCAGGCCAAAGGGAGCAGCATGGCCGCCCGGCCGATTGGCCCCCCCAGGAGCCCGCATGCAGGATGTTAGCCACTCGCGACACCGCGGCAATGCACGCAGCAACAAGCAAAGCGATCCCCCCCCCCCCCGCCCACCCTGCCAGGCCGGGCAGCCACAGTCACCGGGGGCACGCACCAGTCCAGGGCACCTGCCGCGTGAGGCAGCCCCACAGGACCACGCTGGCCGCGAAGATGTCCGCCGGCAGGTAGGCCTCGCGCTCGAGGCTGCGTCCCGTGCTGAAGGCCGAAATGAGCTCCGGCGAGGCATAGCACACGGTCATGGCATTGATGGGCGGCAGGCTGACCACCAGGGCGGAAAAGCGATCGGAGCTCAGATTCCGGCTGGTGCCCAGGTCCCCGAGGGCCGCATGCCACCGGCCATCGGGCGTCTGGCTGACAAAGATGTTGGCCGGCTTCAGGTCACAATGGGCCACGCCATATGCATGCATGGCCTCCAGGCCGGTGGCCCACTGCTGGGCCACGTCCAGCCGCTGCGCCAGCGTCAGCGGCACCTCCGAGGCCAGCAGCGTGTCCAGGCTGTCCTGGAAGCGCTCCATCACAATGGCCGGCGGCGATTCGCTGTACCCATGGAGCCGGACGACATTCGGCGCGTCTCGCAGCAGCCACATGAGGGACACCTCATTTTGGAAGAGGGCCACGTCCATCGGCAACATCGCCTCCGCCCGCGGGGCTTTGATGGCCACCGTGGCTGCGCAGCCCAGCCGCGCCGAAGTCCCGGTCCCCACGGCCTCCGCGATGTACACGCTCGCTTGGGCGCCCTGGCCGAGGCCGCCGTCCTCCTGGGGCCGGAAGTCCACCGACAAGTCCACAAGGATGGACCCCGGCAGGGCCAGCTCCACAAAGGTATTGAGCATGGTCGAGTCTGGGATGGGCGCGCCGCCGCCGCCGCCGCCGCCGCCGAAGCCGGTCAGTATGGAGGCCCGGCCACTGGGGCGGAAAGAGGGGGGGGGGCGGGAAAAAAAAAGGAGCAAAATAACACGCATGCGGGCCACACAGCACCGCGCCCATGCGCCCGACCGAATGGGCGCCACCCGGGCCAGCACGATCACCCCCACAGCCAGGACACGCACCTTCTTCCAAGCCATTTGCGCTCTTCGCCCGCAGTGCCACACAGGCGCGTAAGTGCCGGAAAAAGATAGGGGGGGAGGGGGATTGGCCCAAGGCCCGTGGTCAGTCGGCGGGCCGGCACACCGGCAGGCAGGAGGATGCGCCGGAAAAAGGAGAGACAGAAGAAGAATCATCCCGAGCACCCGGCCGAGCCGGAGGCCGATCGCACGCCTGGGCGCCAGGAGCCACACGTACGAAGATACTCTTGGCCGCGGCGTTGGCCGCGCGGCGGCGGAGGTACAGCACCACCACGATCGCCAGCAAAATCAGCACCAACAACACTCCGGCGACCACGCCGACGATCAACCCTGTCAAGCCCCGGGCCCCCGGGGATCACCCGAGCACCCAGAGTCCCGCGCGGCGGCGGCGGCGGCGGCGGCGGCGGCGGCGGCGGCACACCAGTCAGCAAGCGCCCAGGCAAAGGACCCCCCCCCCAGGTGGGAGAAGGAAGAGCAGGCAAAAGACCCAGCCGAGCGCGTACCGATGGTCGAGGTGCTCCTGCTCGGGCGGCGGGTGCAATCCTCGGCCGAGGGCCCGTCACAGAAGGCGCACTTTTCGTGGCACACCGCGCACGGGGCATTCGGGGCATCCCGATCAGCGAAGGTCCCCGGCGGGCACTCGGCCACGCACTCCTGGCCATGCAGGAGATGCAGCGCACCGGTGCACTGGTCGCACGAGCCCCGGATGGTGGGGCACTCCAGCTGGCCCCCCGGCAGGGGCGTGCAGCCGGGCTGGTCGGCCGGCGCGGTGCACCGCTCGCAGCCCTCCCCGCAGGCCAGGCACACCCGGTCCTGGGGCCGGCCCACCGGCGCGAAGCCCACCATCGGACAGGCCGACGCGCAGACACCCTCCCCAACATGCAGCCAGTGGTCCTGACGGAAGCACGAGGTGCAGAAGGTGGCGCTGTTGACACAGCTCCGGCAGGACTTGTCACACCCGGCGCAGTGCCCCGTGCCCGGGACATGGTACTCCCCGGGCGGGCAGGCCGTCACACACCGCCCCGCCGACAGGATCCACCCCTTGCGGCAGGTGACACAGTGGATGGTGCACTCGTCGTCCCCCACCGCCAGGCCGATCTCGCAATTGGGCGGATTGGCCCGGCACTCGTGGGCCATGCTGCACTTGGTCCAGCCCTCGGGGCAGGTGTCGCCGCAGGTGCCCGCCGGCAGGAGGACCTGCCCACGCCGGCAGCTGGCACACCGCCCATCGCCCTCGCACGTGCGGCAACTCGGGTCACAGGCAGCACACCCCGGCTCGGACTCGGCCGGGGAGGACCCACGCGCCAGGTCCTCCCGGTGGAAGCCCGCCGGGCAGTCCAACAAGCACATGCTCTCCTGGAAGAACACCCGCTCGGCCGGGCAGGATGTGCAATCATCCTCCCCCGGCCCGGAGCACTCCTGGCAAAGGACATGGCACGGCATGCAGGAGGCGCCCTCCGCATCGGCATAGCTGCCCGCCGGACAGGCGGCCATGCAGCGGTACTCCGCCCACAGGGGCGCCTCCGCCAGGCAGGACGTGCACTGGTCCTCGGCCGGGCCGAGGCAACTTTTACAGCCGGCCTCACAGGCGAGGCAGACGCCGCCAATGTGGGCCGTCTCCTCCGGGCAGGAACTCGTGCACTGGCCCCCATGCAGGGCGTATGTCCGCTCGCACTGGGTACAGGTATTCCGGTCATCCGGGCAGCGCAGACACCCAGTCGGGCACAATTGGCACTCGCCATCCTGAGCCCGGCTCGAGGCCGGGCAGGAGGCAACGCACATCATGGCACCCACGTCGATGGCAAATGCGAAGAGCCCCTCCGGACAGGTCCCGGTGCACTCGGTGGCCCGAAGCCCGGAGCATGTCGCGCACGACCGATGGCACGGAAGACACCGCCTGTCAATGGCCACATAGCCCGGGGCACAGGCCTGCACGCAGACTCCCTCCTGGAGGACATCCGCCGCATCTTGGCACCGCCAGCAATCCCCATTGCTCGGGCCATTGCACGAGGCACAGGACACATCGCACGCCAGGCACTGGTCACCGGCCGGGTCGGGATACTCACCCTCGGCGCAGGGGGACTGACAAGTGCCCCCGGATTCGGGATTATGCTCATCCGGGACCAGCTCCAGTCCCGGCCTGCATGCCGTACACTGATAGTACACTGGGCCGGTGCACTCGGCACACGTCACCTCGCATGGCAGGCACCGGCCATTGGCGTGGTCCGGGTAGGTGCCCGGCGGACACTGATCAACACACACACCCTCCTCGGTCAGGTAATACCCCCACACGCAGGACAAGCAGCGATCATCCTCGGTGCATGCCTCGCATCCCTCCGGACAGGGAGCGCACGAAGCCCCGGCAGCCGGGGCCACCGGCGGCCCGGCAGCCCACCGGTATTCGTACGCGCAGGCCACGCACAAGTGAGCCTCCTGCGAGCAGAGCATGCACTCGCGATTGCACGCGGCGCATGCGCCCGATTGGAGGAAGGTCCGCCCGGGACAGATGGCCACGCAGAGTCTCGACATGCCCGGCTGGCCGGCGTTCTCGAACACCAGCCCCGGCTGGCATGTCGAACAGGAAAAGGCGTCCTCGCACTCGACGCACGACCCATCGCACCGCTGGCACTGATCCCCGGCCCACCGCTGGAAGAAGCCCTCCCGGCAGGCGTCGCAGGAGAAGCCATCGACGCACTCGGTACAGCCCTCCGAACAGGGCACGCACTGGGCGACATTGCCATCGGCCCAGGTGCCCATCGGACAGGCGGCCACACACTGCCCAGCATGGAGGAAGTGCCCGGCCCGGCATGCGGTGCAGGCAAACCGGTCATCCGGGCGGCTGCACTCGGCGCAGGTGCTCGCGCAGGCAAAGCACCGGTCCGGCTCGAAGCCACCCGTGGCCCGGGCGAAGCCCGACCGACACCCGGTGCACACGAAGGGCACGCCGGCCGTCGGGTCGCCCGTGCAATCGACACAGCTGTCATGGCACCCGCACAGGCCCTCCTCATCGAGGTACATGGTGTCCGGGCAGGTGCCACTCGGAAGACAGGCATCCGGCTGGTGGGCCAGTCGAGCGCGGCACGCAGTGCACTCGCTGGGGCCCGGCCCGGTGCAAGATCGACAACGCGCATCGCACGGCTGGCAGGCATCCCCAAAGGTCCCGGACGGGCAGGGAACATAGATGGCCAGGTGCATGGCCGGAGACTCCATCGAGGTGGTGCCCACCATCAACGACGCCAGGTGCCGCGGATGGGGCGTACTCCCGCCGGCCGCCCGGACCACCAGGAGGGAGGAGAAATCCATCTCCACATGCCCGGCATTGGGCCCCAGCTCCAGCGGCGTGAAGGTGGCCCGGAGGAAGTGACATGCCTCGGTCGGACTTTCGCCACACCGGTACAATGCCACCCCCACATGGTTCGGCAGCAGCATGACAAGGCAGGCCGGGGTGTCCGGCCGGTCGGGGATTTCCACCACCAATTGGTGGTCCGTTCGGAACAAGGCCGCGGCCGGCAGCCGGCCGAGGACCTGCCAGCGAGTCGGCAAATCCCCCGTCCGACCCTGGGGCGCCATGTCCCCGGGCGCATAGTGTACCAGCCACTCGCCATTGGCGATGCTGCTGAAGACCATCTGCCGGGCCGGCCGGCCGACGCCCGACCACGAGGAAGGGCCCATGGTCGGCATGCTATGCGGAGTATGAGGCGACCCGGGCGCTTGGATATACTGCGTGCCGAAGGGCGCCCACGCTGCCCGAGCCGCCAGCAGCTCCGTCGGGAAGCCCACCAACATATTCCCATACCTCGACCACATGCCGGACCAGGCGGCCTGGTCCAATTGACCCGGCCCGGCCATCAGGTAGGGCCGCGGCAGGGTCGGCATGTGGAACCAGTCGCCCAGCAGGCCGGGCGTCAGGTCGAACTTCGCCCCGTCGAAGGTGGCCAAGAAGGGCTTGCCGCTGTAAAGTTGGACCACCAGATGTTGGCGATCCACCTGTTGAATCCAATCGCACGACTCGACACCGACAAGGGGAAAGGCGGCGCGCTTTGTTCGAACACACGGCGCCTCGCCACTCGAGCCGGCCGCCCGCCGGTCACACGCAACCACCACCTGGTCGATGGTGGTCGAGGTGCAAAGGATGTAGCCCAGATAGATGTGGCTGTCGGTCACCACCGGACCGGCTTCGGCGGCCCGGCGGACATACATATTGTGCTGCTGGTCCCGGAAGAGGGCCACCTCTGGCGGGGGCACCGACCGGTCGGCCGCCCCGGCACCGATGTCGCTGTTGGCCATGATCGATGTCTGGCCAGTGCCGAAGAAGAAGAACACCCCCTGCCCGGGGAGCGGCTCGGTCGCCGAGGTGGACCCCAGGCTGTCAGGCCGAATGACCAATGTCCGGCCCTTCAACGACCACATCATCTGGGTGGTGGCCATGCATGATACATCCGGCGGACCAACCAGGGGGTCGAATTCGATGAGCTCCTCCTCGAGCGTCGCAAATGCCAATGAGGCTGTCTCACTGGCATTGGGCTGTCGCATGCACAGGGAGCCACTCTCGATGAAACCCTTCGAGCAGGTCGACACGCAAGTGCCCCGCCCATCCGGGCCACTGGCTTCCACCAGGAGGGGCTCTTCGCAAATGAGGCAGCCATCGGGGCCATCGCAAACGCGGCATCCGGCCTGCGAGCAGGCCCGACAGGGCCCCATGGTCCCGGGGGGGACTTCATCCACCGGTGGCCGTGTATGCCCGCCAGCCGAGTGGCAGGCCGACATTCGGGGCGGGGGGGCGGGGGGGGGGGG